ATCCCTAACGTTCTGTGATTCTGTGTGAAGTGCAGTACACGAGACAAAACTAATAATCTTTCACAAAAAGATCAGGTAAAGCCTCCTCCATTGATCTAGTGGGAGAAAAATGAATGAGGACAAAAATATAATCAACTGGAGCCAATCTCATAGCTTTTCCTGAGCCCTGTCTTAGGCAAGGCTCTGACTAACATCAGCAGGAGCTTTGGGTCAGAAGAAAGTTAAGTAAGAGACTTCCAATACAGCTGTATAATTACAAACAGAATTTTGGCCACCTCCAAGAGCCAGGTGAATTCTTTAATTGGAGCACAATTCAGATATGGTCACAACTAATTAATATCATACGTCGGTAAAGCAATTACCAGTTATTCTGTGAAATGCCTGGCATCATGGTATGGTTTACACCTCCTCCTAGGACTCATGTTTGACTTCAGTAAATGATGTCTCTGTTGCCTATTTCCAAGCTCCTGCTGTAGCCCGGGTAACCTGGCATGGAGGATTAGACTTTTCCGATTCAAGACATCAGGTCATTAGGGGATGTGATAAGCTAGCAAATTGTACAATTATAGGTTGTAATGTTTGTCCGTGGAGGTCTGCATTTTATAAACACTACTGTTCAGTAATAGGTTTCCGAGGGAGCTTGGCTGATCCGTAGGGCAGCTTCTTCATTTAAAGCAAAATAGAAATGATACAAGTCTTTGTGATGCCAGTAAAGCATCCTCCTCCACTGAATCTCTTACTTCGCTCTCCTCCTCAACAGCTTTCCTTCCTTTCCTGTCTGCCTACCTCTAGTTAACCATTTTTCTCTTCAGGAACATCTTAGAGAAATAGGGAAGACAAAGATAGGGAAGTCTTCACATCCCTCTGCATCTGCCAAAATGAACTCTGGCTCCTGAATCAGTATTAGAGGCACAAAGTTCCTATTACCATCAGTTTTCACTTGACATTCTATTTCACCATAAAACAACAAGAATAGCCTGGTAAACACAAAGACAGTGCAAACTTACTCCTTGGGAAATGGGATAGGCTGAAGCAAGCTGGCCAGGGCTGGTCTCCAGTCATCATAGTCTGACCTGAAAAATGAACATTTTATCACCAGGTTACCAAGTATTATACATCGTTTGTCAACAGTTAGTGCAAGGAGTTAAAAGCTTTTCACTGCAGGCACCAACAACCCTTCTGTTCTACTGAAACACTCTAAAGATCTACAGTGACATTTCCCTTTCCATTTTCAGCACATTCTCCACTGAGGCACAATAAATCTGGTATTTACAACGACCTCCAGAGAGGCCTTCTTTATGTCAACTTAAAGACATTAGCTCTTTATGAAGCCTGTTGACATTTAATCACTAAGTAATACTTTCATCTAAGTTGATACAGCAATTACCAGGCCATTGCTATTTACAGCTCTGCTCTGCATTTAATTGGAATGTTTTGTGGGGGCTTTTTTTGCTATAAGATATAAGCCCCCTTGTAAAAAAGAAGACACCCCTCCAATCCATTTCTGACCTTGGCACAAAGGAATGGGTCAACTTAAACAGTACAAAGTCTTTAGCTTAAGAGGAAAGGGCCTAGAGAAGGAAGCACTGTCACAATTACTAAGAGTGCAAGAGGACAGATGAGGATAACCACAGCAGAGAGCTCAGCCCAGTGGACCCAGCGAGACGTGTCTCCTCTCTGCTGTGTTAGCACCACAGGCCCCAGCCGATGCATTTTGTTTTCATCTCTGCTGCCAACACACAGAACTGTCCTTCTAGGAGGAGCCATCCGTAAGGGGATGCTCACGTGCGCTAGGATGAAGAGAACATTTTGCTTTACAGCACGTGCTGATCGGTGCAACCAATCTGGCAGCAAAATGCCAACTGTCCGGACACACGTGGAGAAGCAGGCGCAGCTTCTCAGGTAGGAACAGCACTTTGCACGCTGCCAGCCCTCTCCTTCAAATGACCTCAAACAGTTAGTAATTAGCACTAATTAACAGCCGTAACAACAAACTGCGCACACGGCACGGTCGTTGTAAGATGCATGCAGTGGAGAACGCAGAAGATAAGGGTGTTTGGCAAAGCCAGCACCAATGCAGGGCACAGAACCCACCAGCCAAAGCCCAGCTCCTGGACTGCCCGTTAGGCCACTTGCACTCCAACTGATGCCAATGAGTACGCACAGAAGTGAACGTAGTAAACCTCACACAGGCTGAAACACCTTGGGATGTCTGTAGAAGATAGCGTACAAGAGCCTACAGTCTGCTGTTACCCTTTAGATGTCAGTTGTAAAAATCAGATTATTGGCTGCAGCTTACTGCAAACTTGGCACAAAAGCACGGTGTTTCTTTAGGAAAGAAGACAGTATCTACTGGTAGTATTAGAAACAGACAACATATGCACAGAAAGCGTTCCAGAATAATGCGTTTTTTGCAAAGAGAAGGTTCTAGCCCAGAGCAAATGAAGTTTGATGCATTTCCAAAAGTCTCATCCATTTCTGAGCCACATGAAACAGAGATTTCCATAAAATAGTAAGACAAATGACAGTCCACAAAGACATGTTCATAGACACGAAGAAAACTTACATGCATGAGCAGAGTGTTCTTAAGAAGCAACATGCCAAGAAATTTTAATTGAGGGGATAATCATGATGTAAAAATCAACGAGGGAGGCAGTTATCACTTGCCCAAGAGTAGCATGAGTTCAGGTTACAAACATATTTATCATCTCATGCAAGTAACCAATCCATAAGAACAACCCACCTCCTCCCCTACCTGCAGGTGTTAAACAACCATAAACACACTGACCTGGCAAAAATCTCAGTGCTGGTTCTCTTCAAAACACCAAACAAACAACATTTGAGAGTCTTGGCTATGTTCTCTAATAAATACAACTTGTTTATTTGCCTCTTGTTATCACTAGCATTGGAGGGATGAAACATAGCGCATGTGAAGCTACAGCAATCCAAAACACAAACTTCATGCCCTTGTCAGTTGCACTGGGAGCCACTGAGCCTGATTTTCTCCTCCTTCCAGAATTCTGTTCTCTGGTCTAAACTGGGAGCAGCTCTGCGATGAGGGGTGTTACACTGACCTAAACTGGACCTGAGTCTGCCACAGATGGAGCACTTTGTGATCACCCATTCACAAGGCTCTTTCCAGAGACAAAAGCCCTTATCTGCTTAGGCACCAAACAAACAAGGACGTGGATCAACTTTGCAGCCTCAGAACAGCAAGACAAGAAGCAGGACTTCGTTATAAGGGGTTGTTTTTCCACTTTGTAAAGTGAATATCCTGAAACACCTAAGGATGGGGCTTCTCATATAAACTGCAATAAGTCAAGGAAACCTCTGACGCAGCACCTCTAAGATGACCTCTCTGTGTTCTTTTAACGAGCTTTGATTAATGAAGGCTCTCCACAAGACTATTTGTTATTTCTGACCCACAGACAAACTGAACGGATCAGCGACACAGAACTCCGATCTGTGTTCAGACTCATCTGAAAGCCTGTTCTTACCTCCCAGGTCTCTGTAGGAGACAGAGGATGCAATGTATCTAGACCCTCAGCCATGCGAAGTGCCAGAGGTCTCTGATCCACACTGCCTGGGTTTCAGTACGTTTGTTAGGTGTGAGAACATAGGCCAGACCACAAGAAGTTGTCTGACTTTGAGCTGGCACCACATTTCCACTCAAACATCTATCTCTGTACTCAAGATGTTATGTGTCCCTCCTGTTGCCATTTACATCTCCAGAAGCAAGCAGTCCTGCAGCGCGCTTTCCTCTTGGGGCCACTGCTTTGCCCAAGTCTCAGCTCATCCTCCACATCACAGCCCTGCTTCCTGCCAGCCACTTCTGGGTGCAGCCCAAACACTGGGTCCTGGAGAGCTCATGCACGGACCTCAGTGCCAGCGCTTGGGTCCTCCAAGATCTGACAAGTCTAATGAGCAGTTGTCTTTTGTTTGGTTGGGTTTTTTTAATATACATACCCTTTGGAAGTTCCTACTAAACCAATGGCTGATTTACTCCAAGAACAACACATCTTTAATGATAGCTGCTAACAACTTTAAGAGCAGATTTTTTAGCACAAGAGACCTGAAAGTCAAAAGGGTGAATTAGGAAATCCAAAGATCTTAAAGGCGTTTCACATCAGATGAGATAAAGCACCTACAAATCTTCCCTAACGGCAGCTTAAAAGCTGAGACCCACACATGGGTGCCTGTGACATCTCAGGTAAAGTGTTACATCACTAAAATTCCTCCTTGAGCAATCTGGGGAGTTGTGATTGGTAATAATGTGAACCAATCATTTTTTTATGGCTGATCTTCAAAGGAAATTGCAAGAGAGAGAAAAAACCTGCTGTGTAATAGACTAAGACCAAGTGAAACACTGCAGACAGAATTGGACAGTACTGCTCTCTGACTTTTCTTGACGCTGGGAATTACACCTGGCATCCCTTTGCAGAGCAGGTATGTCAGAGGGCAAGGAAAATAAACCGCAGGCTGTTTTCCTAGGAGGAGAAGAAAGAAAGAAAACCATCTCCTCTTAAATACACAGAGTTTGGTCCATGAGTGGGACCTGAGCATAAAATCTACACAACATGTAATCCCTTCAATCTGAGCTAGGAAACATGAAACATAGCACAAGAATAAAACTAAACTACTTATTAAAAGCCTACGGCGTTTCTCCTCCTCCCACCTATTCCCTTTTCAAAAACATTTTCCTTCTGTCTGTGCTCATCTCATCTGCACGCTTCTTTCATGTCAGACAGTTGCTTTTTTTTTTTTGTCCATTCAAAGCTCTGCACAAGACAGAAGTGTTTGAAGCAGGGAAAGAAAGGGAGAGAGATGAGCTCTGGCTTCAGTTAACACCACCGCGATGAGCCAAAGAGGCCATGGTAGGAGGAAGTGGGAGCATGGAGCTCCAGGGAGATCTCGGGGAGTGCCTGGGACAAACTCCCCAAGGAGCTCTTCAAAGGGCGCTGGGCTGAACACGCTCACGCTCATCACACAGCCTAAATTCCAGGACTGACCTTATAAAAGAGAGAGGGAGAACGACTCCCCAGTGTACTCATGGGCTCTGATTTTGCAGGATTTGCAATTCTAGGCAAGCAGCACAGCAGCCAACCTGCAGCCTGATCTCTGGGTTCCTGGGAAACGTGTGCTAGGCCGGGGCTTGGGGTGCCGAGCAAGTGAGGGCTGCCAGAGCAGGCACCTGCTACCACACACAGCTTCACTTGCCCAGAAACCTTTTTTAGGTGATTGGCCTGAACATTGGCCAACCATAATAATTAAATAATCCCCAACTGCAGCGCCTTTGCCTTTGGGCCACTGTCGCTATTGGTCTGCCAACATAATACATTTTCCTTCCCCGGGATCACCTTTCACCAAATGAAAACCTGCCCACATGTCATGTGCGGCACAAACAATCCAAAACATATTAGCAGCCCAGGGCAACCCTGATAAACATGACATAAGAGAATCCACTTGGGATATTCAGAGCATGCCACTGACCTATTGGGGCATGCAGGGAAGGCAAGGGAAGCTGCAGTGGGTGCTTGCGTTGGAAAGTTGTCAGTCTTATCACCAAGAGACTGCGAGCCCTGAGTCCTCTGTTTTTAGAGGATAATAAAGAGACAAGGAGCAACTACTTGGAAGCAGCTTGTTTCTACAGACTGAGCAGCTTGACAAGATCAAAAACCAGATAATAATAAGATGACTGAGCCCCCCAGACATGTACCTTATCTCCTCTTTACCTGGCTCTAGCTCCTACTCCTCTGAACTGTTTGACACAAAGGGTTTAGCTCAGCGCTCCAGGGAAGGCTGAGAGGAAGCCCCATCAGACCCCTGTCATATAAGGCACAAACCTGCTATCTGCAAAACAGTGAGGTGTCTTTTCATGTTCAGCCTTCTCTTGAGCTGGGCTTGTTTGTTTTTCCAAAAGACGACAAATTAGCACCACTGAAAGGTCCTAGAAAAGCCCTGCCCTGGCTGCTGAGAACAGAGAAGGCCTCCACAGCTCCCAGCTGGCATGGGAGCACCAGGACACAGCAGTGCGAGTTTGCCCAAAGGGGCCGACTCTACCCTGGTCACACAGCCCCAGAGAGAGGTACGAGTGTCTGGGCATGTGGAAGGACCCTTGCCACTACAGGCAGCCATGGAAACAAAAAATAACACAAAGGGCAGCAGCTTATGATACAACATTGTCACAGCTGCAGCCTCCCTGCAAGGTGTCTGTTCTTGCAGTCAGTTTAGTTTAGTGTTGATCTGGATTTCACTACAGGCACAGTTTAAGCGTCCTCCCCATACGCTGGGTGTTGCCAGGGGAATTGGTGGGGTCCTTCAAGTGACACACAGACTGTGAAGTTATCTGGTCCAAGGAAGAGGACACACAACCCTTTTTACTGCAAAGTTCTCTAACCACTGATGTGCTGTTCAAGCACAAGTTTGGCTGTACAAGAAATTCTCTACTGAATGCAAGTAAGACCTGGGCAACGTTAAGGAGCTCTCAGAGACTCTAATTTAACACGATGAACAGAAAGATTTTGGTTATTTTAGTGCATTTTTTTACGCACCAGTTTGACACCTGTAGCATTCAGGAGGCACTGACTGGCATCATAACACTATCAGGGTCCAGAATGCATTAGAAAATACTGACCCAGGAGCTTGATCCACTTCTGAATGCAGGACAAAAACACCACGCTCCACTAGACACCATCTCTCCTTTAAAGTCTGCCCAGACTTTGGGTCATCTGCCAGCATCCTTAAAACCATGATTTTCTGTTTTCCTTTAGTATGTAATAGTTGTGTTTTGTTACTCAAACACGTTAGAAAAGGGGTTAAAGACGTTCTCAGTGCAATGGTAACAGCCACGCAGACGAACTTTCTAATCTGCACATTTAGCTTTCTGTGTAAAAAGCGAGGTATTACAGTGATTTTTAAATAACTGCTGTTACAGTTTTAACAATATTAGCAGTGCTTTTTTTCCAAAAAAAGTAAGTATCGTGTAGGAGTGAGGTGAACAATACAACGTCCTCTGCTGAAGATACTGTTAAGAATTGTTATTTGCTAGACTTTCAATAATTAAAATCTGCCTGAATAAATTACTCCCTGCTGCCCTAAGTTAATTATACAAAAGAGATATCCTTGTTGGTGACTCTATTGTTTTGATGATGATACTGAGTCACCTAAAAGAACGATTAAATTCAATGCTAAGCAACTCATTTATGTTTGGCTTACCACTGTTATTAATAAGCACATTATTTTAGTGACTATCCACCAAGAGGTCAGCTCCTGGATAGCTGGTTGGTCATGCTCATGGTTTACAGCAGAGTCCAAATTTCACCAACCATGTCTTGTATTCTAAAAAACTGAACTATTACTCCATTAAGCCTGACACAGTTTCAAAGTAATTAATGCAGAGACGTAGCATTTTGCCCAGACATACCACAACTCAGCAGCAGAACTGGCTGTCAAAGTCAAAGTTGTTTTGAGGTGTTTTACTGCACTTGTATTATAAGCTTCTGTTCTGCAGTCCACCTTACGTGTTGCTCCTTTTCATTTATTTATCCAGAAGAAAAAACAAGCTTTTCCCAAATAACTCTTTATTTCACATTACTCCTGAAGGTATTCAGAGGATTTGCCTCACAGAAAACCATGAAGCCCTCATTTTGTAAAGGCTATTTGAGCATTCATTCATTAATACAGGCCCGCTGCACCAAAGCAACTGGTCAACAAATAAAGGCTTCTCTCTATAACAAGTCAACCCGAACAAGTCGTAAAACCTCTACAAACAGGTGAAGGGAGAACACCTAAATGAAAGACACAGACCTCACCCAACTTCTCCTGAAGCCAGGGGAGCCACGCTGCCCATCGCTGCAGCGGCACTGAGCCTAGCACAGACCTGTCTTTTCTAGCTCTGTCCCGGGCAATCCCCAGAGCCCTGGGGGAGACAAATGGATTTGCTGGGGTTTTTTTTAATGGCGGTCAAGAACAAAACAGAAACCACTGGCAACAACATCCTGTCTTCTGTAATATGCCTGAGGCTCACTGTACAAATAAGCTTTCAGTTTTCATCTTCCCAATGCTATTTTTAGAGCACACTGGCAGTGCCAGATGTCTCTCTCAGAGGCTGGACTCCAGCACTGGGGTCAGATTTATAACCATGTGCTTGCTGGCCACAGATGTTGAAGATGACAGGCCTGTGGGAAAAGCCCCTCATTGTTAAGATGACATTGTTCAAAAAGCCAGTTAAAACAGTTACTCACAGCATCTTGAGTATTTCAACATAACAGCCAAGGATTCTGTCTGCCTGGGCACTCAGCTCGATGCTCATGGTGCTGCAGGTAGGACTGACCATCAAGCAGTCAATCAGGTTGGGCTCGCTGTCACTGCCAACATTGGCTGTCATCTTCTGATTAGCTGTGTTGTTGTGCTCCACTTCCACGTGGATCTCATTCGAAGTGACAATAACTGGTTTGAGACGCGACTCAGTCAAGGTGGCCTCTTGAGAGACCAGGTCAGGACTCGTGTGAAGAAGGCGGAGGGGGAGATTCGGCTTTCGGTCACACTGCTGCTGGCAGCCATTCCGAATTTCCTTCAGGCTCGGCGAATTGTCTCGACTGAATTTAAAAAAAAAAAAAACAATTTCAAGAGACAGACGTAACAGCAGAGAGCGAGTGCAACACTGAGAAGCCAAGATCTTTTGCAATTTCCCACTGCGTTTCACCCCAGCCTCCCAGATTGCTTTCTCCTGTGTAATCACATTACTGAAATCAATTAAAATCAATAAAATACTCCAACAGGACTATTCTGCAGCCCCTGTTCTACAAAGTTTGACCCTTCCGTTACTCTAATTGACATGCTAGTTTATAGTATAAAGGTGAACCTTCCCATTCAAGTTGTGCAAAGCTGTAACAGAATCCATGCCCAAGTACGTATCTGGCTACAGTACATGCCCAGACATTTGTCTGCAGCCCTCGCGCCTGGAATTTTTGTTGGACACTAAGCAGCCCCTGTCCGTGCTCCACCATCAGGAAAGTCTGACGGTCATAAATAAACCGGAAACATAGCAGAGGGGAACCCTCAGTGCCCACTGGAAACTGGAGCTTGGGGTAAGTCAGGAATCGAATTTTCCACAATAATAGAGACAGCATTGTGAAAACAGCTCAGGTTCAAAGCTGTAGATACATGGGGATTTACAAACAACCCCTTCTTCAACATCTCACCCTTCTCTTTGCTTTAGGTGTAACCCACACTTTATGTGCCAGAAAGGGAGCAAAATGGACACTGCTCTGGGTAGTGCTTAACTCCCAGAGGCTCGTGGAGCACTCTCATGTAGCTGGCCTAAAAAGGCTGGTTACAACTGCAGCCTGCCTCAGAGGAGCATCTCAACAGTGGCCACGATCAGCATGCAGCTGGCTGATGAGCTTCATCCCGGGAGTCACTGCAGCTTGCAGCACTGCTGTCCTGGGAACTGCCGAGCCTCCTTGCATCACCAGCACTGCCCCCATTTGCAAGCATGGGAGTCAAAGAGGTGCAGTCACAGACTGCCATGCTCACTGCCTGAAAATATGCCACAGTGAGTACAAGTAAATGAAGGTTCAGCATCTTTCAGGTTTTCAAGCACACCAAGTGTAACGAATACAGTCACATATCTACAAAAACATGCATGTGACTGACCAGCACTCCCACATGTAACACTAGCCATGGGCAGAGTGAGAACGAAGACGTGCTCACATACCCACACCCATGCTCACACCTATCTTGTTTACAGATGCTACGGGTTTGGTAGTGAGTTACGTGCGATCAGCTGGGAATTCATACTGACCTGTTGATAAATTCCTCATAACACGAATAAATGGCTGCTAAGCAGACAGCTACAAGATTTGGCAGGACCCTGGGATGTGGGCACTGTCCAGTTGGACCATGCATGCTGAAAAACAAAAACCAAGACGACTGTGAGGAAGATTTCTGGGGGCAAAAACAGTGAGACACAATGAGGTGCCAGAACTGGATAGACAGCCTTGGGGAACCTTCAGAAGAGCCATAAGAGAGAGTTATTTTAATCCTGTAAATCCCTACCCAATGGTCCTGTTTATGAATAAGGTTAAGCTGCATCCTTGGCTTATTTGATGTGGTATCTCTACAGTTCCCCCAAAATTTCACACATGACTGAGCATTATGTGGTCTAAAGTTAATGGGAATCTCTCTGTAGAGGCTCCGAGTCTAAATGTATAAAAAGAATGTACACACAGCAAAGTCCATCTGCTTCTAGTGTGAAACTAGGCAGAAAAACCCAGCCAGATTTGCAAATCAGAGTTGGGTTGGCTTGGTTTTTTTAAAAAAGATACTTCAACAACATTGCCTCATGGACTCTTCTAATTTACCTGCAGTTTGCCAGTACCAAAAAGCACCAGCTATTCTTAACAGCCAGCAAAGAGATGAGCAGGGCTGGGAGAAGTAACACAGCAAAGTATGTACACAGGACTGGAAATACGCCATAAATTAAACGTAACTAACCTATGAATAAACTTCTTCACCACCTCCATTCCAGCATTCAGCTCATTCAAAGCCAGAATATACTCCTGAGTAAACAGCCGCAACCGAGGGCATTTCCCAAAATCCTGTCCAAAAAGGAGAGACTCAGTGAAGACAGTGAAGCATGCCTGCAACGTACATCAAAACTGGGGGTTTTCAAAAGAAATCAACTCAAACACAACTGAGTTCCCTTTGCTATTTTGCTGACAGCTTCAAGAGCACAGTATCACTGGATGCCGAAGTAACATTCTTCCCACTGTCAAGGGCAGGCTCTCCGATTCTTCTTTCTCCCATACCCACCTTGAAACAAAAGACATTTAATGAAAAAGAACCTACCTGCACGTACATTTCTTTTGTACACTCCAGTTTATACCCTTATTTTGAAACGTGTTGTCTGTTGTTTTTCTGTAACTGTAGTTTTTCAGAAATGCAACTCAAAAATGATTTTTTACTTCCACGTTTGACATTGTTATCTATTCCATTTCTAGAAAAAATCCTTCTGACGTGTGATCAATAAGTGATAAAGTATAAAACTAGAGACCAGCTCTTTCTCCAGGGATTTTATTCCAGCCTCAATGTGAATCTGACAGGTGAGCTCAACAGTCACATTCTTTAAATCCTGCAGTCAGAAAAGCACCTGCTAAGTGAAATCCTGCATCTCCTCACACCTCCTGCTATTTTTAGTGCGCAAGGAGTAAGATCTGCTGCCTGGTGTTAGTCCACAGCACGTTTCTTCACATTTACACAGGTGTAACCTTTCCACACAGGTGGTAGAGAGCCACAAAGCTAAATTTGCAAGCGGTGAACAAGGCCCACTGAGGACAATCAGCCCCCCCAGACATCCCTCAAGCAGCCGGCTGTGGAAGAAGAGTAATTCTGAAAATACAAACGGCAACGGAAACGTTACAGAAATGCCTCCAGTGGCAGCAAAGCGGTGGCCTGTCAAAGGGAAGACACACTCCCAGAGCACTGCAACCTTCTGTTACTTGTTTTGGTTTCAAGGCACTTCTGCAGCACAAGCTGTATTGACGTCTTGCAGTCCAAGAGACCATAAAGAGGATGTCATTGCTGACCACTCTAAAATAAAATACCTTTCTAAATAGAATACGATGCCCTGTCACCATGCCAGGTACCGAATGATACACATTATCAATATTGTTTGCTCAAAAAAGCCCCACCTAAATAACAGTGCTTATATTCAAACATTTGGGCTGAGGCTACAAACAGCTCCAATCCAAAGATACTGAGAGGTCGTGAGTCTCCAGCCCAGTAACCGGTTTTATCAGCAAGAAAAATAGCTATTCTCCTTCCTTGGAGATTTCAGAATTACAGATAAATGAAGCTTTTATAGGTGGGATACAAAACTTGTTGTGAACTTAACAAAGACCACAGAGCAAATTAGCAGCAGAAGTGGGAACAGCCAGCCAGGTCTCCTGCTCGAAGCACACTGAATTGCATGGGGTTATGAAGTTCACTGCCAACACCACCGTCCCTCTAAAGGATAACTCTATTTACATGCACGTGCACACACCTTCCCTGGAGAGCATTAAAGTGCCCAAATCCACTCCAATTAATATATGATACCATAAATTCTCTGACTACACACTGCGGTACAGACATGTTGATTTTCAATCTGCAAATGTTAAGTATGGTAAATACACCCAATTCTCTGAAGCTAACCAAAGACAAGTGTTACACTATGCATTTAGAGTTTATTTGAGATCCCTCAAGAGCTCTGGATGGTTAAAAAACTTCAGCCCAGAATCCAAGAATAACATTTAGAGAGTATTTCACTGAACACTACAGAATATTCAAAAATGTTTACATGTCTGCAGAGTGCAGGCACAGAGCCAGCAATACGACCTTTTTCCCATCTCAGGCTTTCTACCTAGTTCTGCAAACTCAAGGAGTTTAATAATAATACTGTCATAAAAAGTAAGAAATATGAACTGTTTCTACTGGGTCCATGCTGTACACCAGCAGGACAGTGGATGGTCTCCAAAATTCCATCAGTTAGTGGGAAGTTGGTTATGTAGTTACAGAGGTACGAGACCCATCCTTGAGATCAGAGCCAAGTCAACTGTTCTCTACTTTATCTTTTTATTTTTATCAATAATATTTTATTTATTTGTTACTCTACCACAGCATTGTGAAGTAAAATTTCTTTATGTAACTTAAAAACCACGGCAGGAAACTTAATATGCCAGAAAGGATGGAGGGCTGGTAAACACCCAGACCTCTCTAAGGAAAGGAATATGGATCATGTAGTAACATCTTCTGAGTCAGGGTGGGGTTAATCTGGAATAAGGGCTGGAGAGAACAAAGCTAGCAGGGCAGTTTCCTAGCACTTATTTCAATTATTAGCAAGGAATTGATCAGCAATGAGAAGAGAGAAAGCAGCCTGGAGAGAGAGTATACAATTCCTGGAATGAGAAGGAAGAAGAATAGCAGAGAAGCATAAGGAAATTCAGGAAACCTAGGTAAAAAATCATTGGACGTAAGTCTAAAGAAAATCAGAAATCCAGAGAGCTGGGGGTGTCTTAGAGAAAAAAATGTTGACAGCATCAGCTCAAAATCAACAAAGTCTCTATTCTGATTTTGTTATTTAATGGATTTGAAGCCATTCTAACTACACGGATGGCGTGCAAGGAGTAAAGAAGCAGCCAAGAAGCAGGTGGGAGAAAGCTGAAGCTGCATATGCTGGCACTGCTGCCAAAAGAAACGTTCCTCAAATAACGGCTCTGCTTAGAAAGTCCACTGAATGATTATTAGGTCTGCATCTATAAAGCAAGACACGATTACATGCAGCATTCACAGTTTGGGGAGTTAGATTTAGGTGTCACAGTGCTTTGTTCATTACAGGGAGTAGCACAGCTACTAATTATGAAAGGCATCACAGTACAACTTCTCCAAACCGACCAAGTTCTCGAAACAGGAGCACTCACCATGTTGTGTTTGAGGATCCTCTGCACCACCGGTGTGAACACTTCTATCACAACCATGGACCGTGGGCGCTCTCGGCAGTGCTGCAATCAGCAACAAGTCATTTTGTAAGCTGCAGAAATTACGAAGATGGGTCTCCTCTGGCTTCACACTCCATGCATGGATCACCCCAAAACTGACAGGGTTAAGATGAGGGTACACATAACACTGCAGTCTCCTGGGGATTTGCTGACATCTATTAGAAGATTTACCATGGGAGCTGATGAACTACACAAGTTCCTTTCTCTACTGCTTATTCTTCACAAAACTTACAGGAATGCAGGATTTTTGGGAATTCTACCCCTTCTGTCAAGTTTGACAGAAACTTGCCAGCAGTTCTAGAAGTAGAGGGGCTGGGGACAAAAAGATCTGTAGACACAGGCAGTGTAATAGCACAGACCTCCTTTCCCTGGGATCCAGGCTAATAACCTGTGCCTGTCCTTTTCAGTTCCGAGTATCTCTGAGAAGGAAAAATCCATAACCTGTCTCCCTTCCTGCAACTGTACAGGGCCCATCCCACACATTTAGAGATCATCAGGTGCCCACCTCTGAGGAAGACCAAAGGCAAAAAGTGCCTTGAGTGCGGGGCTAGATATGACCCTAAGTCTGGCTTATAAAAATGCAACAGTCAGAGATGTTTCTGAAACTTGACTGAATCTCTGTAGGAAGAAGCTGCTGATCAATAAAGCTGGATGGAAATGATAAGCAGCATCCAGAACGTTAGACAAATGTATCAGTAAAGTCATCAGTAAGCAAATTCAAGCAGAATTAAAACTAAAACACAAACAGGCCCAGAGGAAAAGTAGTATTTTCAAATCTAGCAGCTCTGCAGTACTCAGAAGTTTATGCAAAAGATGCAAAACGCAGCACAAGCATGGATTTACCAGGGAAGAGGATGGGTCCTTATGATCTTCCCACTGCCATTACCTAACTACGTAATTCCATCAGGGCCAAGTTGTGCATCACAGTACCAACTCACCTGAACACACTGACTCTGATGATTTCTGCATTACCTAAACAGAACACGCGGCAGGACACCTCTGGTACCCAGGCTGGGGTGTGGGAGTCTGAAGATTTTAACTTTCACAGAGTATCAGGACTGGGCTCTCTGATGAACTAAAGATATGGATCTATCATAATGGTGCTGTTAACCATTCCAGCATCACTGGTTATCGACTAAAAACTGAAATAAATTTGGGCATGAGGTAAGGAGTTAAAGAAAAAGAAAATAACTACATTTCTATACAACTATGAGATTTCAGAAAGCAAAGCTGTTCTAGTACCTTGCAGAAGAATTCACAGAGGTCAGGAGGAGGATGGTTGTTTTCCAGCAAAGGTGCAATTGCCTTTAAAAATAAAGAGAGTGAAAAATTTAATTGGAGGACTGCAACTGGAGTAAGCATTTTGCAAGGAAATACTTTTCTTGAAAAAGAAAAAAACCTCACTTTTAAAAAAGGAGGACAAAAGCATCAATAGAGAAATTAGAGGTGGGCCATGTGCTCACTTAACGCATAAGCTCAAGCACACCTCTGCTATGAATCCTCTGGCATATTTTGCTTTGAACTACATGAGTGTAAATAAATAAAACACAGCAAAGGAGTACATTTTTTATAACTATTGAAATGAAAACAGAAGCAGACCAATTGTTTCCAGATGTAATACAGCAAAGATGAATCTGGTTCACTCTTTCAGTTAAAACATCTCCCTAAAGGAAAAAGAATGAAAACCACCACACCACACACACACCCTTTATAAAACAGTTCGAGCTCTTTTTGTAATAAATAGCTCACTAAAAGCAACATAGCACTGTTCTTACCTTGGAGGGCTCTATTCATCAGAATCAAGCTTATAACTTTGTGGAAGTTGAGATCAACCATTTCTTCTTTGTTGCTAAGCAAACCAATGTGCTGGGTAAATACATTAGAGGTCATACCTGCCACTGAGGGTGTAATGAACTTATGTTGTTGTTACTTCCTTTGTAAATTAGCAAATGGCACTGGAACAACGTATTCTCTCTCTGTGATGGTGCCTTCAGGCTTTTCCAGTCTTGAGCTAAAGGGATTCCCAGTACCCATTTAAAAGTAAGACTCTAAAGACAGCAGCTAGGACATTTTGTATTAAGCAACCGAACACCAGATATTTTATCTGGATGGCATCTGGAGTTTTACTAAGGCAGCCTGCTTTGTTTTTAGCTCTCCCTCTCATCTTAAGGATTTCAGCCCTGGCAAGTCTGTTTGCAGCGACTGTGTTTCACAACAGCCACTTTTGCGTACAAACAGGTCAAGATTAATGTGAATTTTAACAATGAAACCCAAGCACATCTGCAGAGATGTTTTGGTTACACCTATGATTTGTGAAGTTTCTGTTTGTGATCATTTGCCATCCTGCAACCGCTCACTCTTCCACGGGCGGTGCTCCAGCAGCAGTGGACTGATGGAGAACGCAACACTGTTCAGCGAGACCAGAACATCCCTCAGTGTGGAAGAGGGACAGTGTGAAAGCACCCTGTATTTTCCTCACGTGTGCTGTGGTTCAAAGCAGAAGCTTGCTGTCTTGTGTTGCCCAGTTACAGCAACATGTGCTTCCCCCTCTTTACTGGGAAGGGATCAGTTGTAATACTGATCTGTTCCAGCACCACCTATAGAAGGAAAGCTGGTTCCACCTGCACAGCAAATCACTGTGTACTTTTAGGATACTACACAAATACACAGTATTAGCAATACTTCCTAAGAACAGCACAGGTCAGCTCTGTAACGGCAGTGAGCCCTGAAACTGCCATCTCCTTAACGGTTTGGGCACAACCTACAGAAAGGCTGGGCCTGAATGAAGAAGCCATCATCCAGAATTGATTAACGTACACTGGAAGGACCTTTGGAGGCCACCAGGTCCCTGCTCACAGCAGGGCCACCTTACATCTTTTATTAAAAATCCTTCCCCCAAAAACAGCCAGTTGTAACTGAAGACCTGAATTACCCTTGGCACTGGAATAAAATGGAAGCTTTAACAGATCTCAAAGAAAAGTAAATGCCAATTCAGAAGTTGATCTCGGTGACTGATTCCAGCTAAAATGGCATCTTAAGCAGTAGTTATACACAATTCACACCTACTGGCAGCTACACGCCACCTTGTCACTTTGTAGACAACGTCACAGAGACGTGATATGATCAGAATGTGGTGAGGTTCTAGATTAGATTACCGGGAAAATCTCCTGAGGAGCACCAGTGACTGAAATTAAATCACAGTGATAGAGAGCCAAGTTCCACCTCTCTGATAAATAGTTGAGATTTTACATTTTGTTGCACAAGGAAGAGAGCTGCCATTTGATTCACTTATTTCTATGTCTAAATAAATGGAACCTACAGAAAAGAAAAAAGTTGAAGAGGATATTTTTATAAAACAAGTAAGCAGTGACACATACACAAATCCACACTTACACAAACTATCACTTGCTCACATACCCTCAGCAATGAAGACATTCTGTATATGGTAGCAGTTTTCCTGAGAGGCTAATGCTAAGACTAAAGGTTTTATAGGGCACATCTGGAAGTGATGTTTTTGACTGAAGTACATTTATAGATACGAACGTTGCACTGTGGAACCTAGTAAGGCGGCCATTTTGGGAGATGTTTAACTCTCAGCATGTTGTGCTGTTGATGAGGAAACTATTTTTACTCATCCATGAAACGAGAAAAGAGGAATCACTAAACCACATTAAAAACAGTAGAACAAATGGGTTTGATCCTGCTTAAGTTCACCACCGTTCGTGGAAATGCTTCCATACGTGCCGTACTTCACTGGGGCAGAGGCAAGCATTAAAAGAAGTGTTATCAAACAATACAGATTTGTCCTCAGATTCTGTTAGAAAGATACTCACCACAATAATGCTCTCGTGGTCTTGAGTGGTTAAGTTGTTGTTCTGAAAGAGTTGAACAGAAGAAACGAATGAGCAAAGAGTACTCTGTGTTGGCCCAGCAGCACACCCAGTCCTCTCATCTACCACTAGGCTCAAGCAGAAAGGCTCCAGACTGCAATTGCTTATTTTCAGAACAAAATCAATCAAATTGAAGTAATTCTTTTAGACTTAGAGAGACTTTTATACTCTTAGTGGTGTACTATCCGGCATGAGGGGCTGTGCAGGCTTCCGTTTCTCCCCCAGCACCTTCAGATTCAAGCCACTCCAGCCACGAAAACTGCGCACACAAACACCAGGACGCCAGAGGAGCTCTCAGTCAGTTGAAAAACTAAAGCCAGAGATACATTCCTTTAAAATGTTTTCTTAAGACAGGCTGTATGTTTCTAAGAAAATTAATAAAAGGATTGGTGTGGCGTTGCACACCATTTGTTGGTAGTAAACTAACTGCTGCAGTTTTCATTGAATTCCTTCCTCACACATAGAACCAGTATAGGCCACTAAATTTACTGGAAGTCACCTGTGCTACCACCTACGCAAGAGAGCTTGCTTTTGGCTTTCTCAGCAGTGTGATCCATCCAGAGATTACAAAGTTGTGAGTTACTAAGATCTTTGCCCACCACAAGACAAAAAGCCAGCAATTTTTTTGCTTATCGCAAATCTTTGTACATCAGAAATAAGACATAAATAACCTGCTTGGCATTACATTTCCTGTCCACGAAAAGTTAACTATTTGAAATGGCTGCTATAAATGGAGGACAGATACCTCTGAAGAAGGAAAATATTTTTCTGTGGCAGAACTGGTAATAACAAAATAGCTGCACAATTAATTCATTGGTGTGTATCTATATTGCTACAAGAATTATCAGTCATGGAAACAAAGCCAATGGAATAGAAGTCAAGGGGAGTTTTACCACTGACTTAAAATAAGACATGAATCAGACCCATAGTAAATTTGCCATAAATAATCAATGACAAAAAAGCCTCAAGAGAAACGTGTCTTGTTTTGATTCTAGGAACCTACCTAAGATGGGTCAAATTCTTCTCCTCAGCAAGTACAAATTCCACTCAAGTGAGCAGAAGCCACGAGCAGACTCAAAGGCAGAACTTCGACAGCTCAAGTTAAAATAAGGTCATACCTCCGAGAGCAGTTTTGAGACAATCTCCAGTGGTGCTTGGTGAATAGAGTCATCCTGAAGTGGAGATGTCAGTGCCATGTCCACCAGCGTCCTGATCTCCTTCAACACCACCTCCCAGCGGCTGGGGTTACTGAGCACCTTCTTGTACTTGTAAATCTTTTTCTGCGAGAAGAACGAAAGGGTCATACTGACATCACCATTAACCACTCGAAAAAACTGATTGGGTATGTGCTTCCCACATGCAGCTGTCAAGTGGGCTGCTTTGTATTTTGAGTTTTGCCTTCTCTGCTTGCTGAATAGCTGCACCTAAAGCACTTAAATGGAAAAGAAAAACTTCCTTCTTCTGAGGAAGCAATGAAAAATTGTGACTTCCTTTTTTTACTTTAGAATAAGTTTTTAAACTCCAGAGCACTTTTCTTCCATCATCTCTTCTTGCAAACACCTTGTTCCTCAGGTTAATAACACATACCTGCTATTGCAAGGCTTCCAAAGCTGTAGGCCCTTTAAAGGGAGGTAGTCATTAAGAAAGGGGGAGAGAGAGAGAGGCCATCAAAACACCATTCTACAGACACTTTAGTCTACATTGCTAATTGGTGAATTCACATTCAGAATTACATAAAACCAATTTATCACAGTGAAAATTTCCAGTAGGCCCACAGGCTTTTTGTCCTGTCTTGAAGGATCCTGACAAGTCACGCAGTCAACCTCCTGCTGTAACACACAGTAACCTGTCAAGTCGCCAAGTCTTGACGCAACAGTATCTCCGCTCTCAAGAAAAGCATTCCTGACTGCCTAATCTCATCTGCCCCAGTCCCCTCCATTGCTTCTGCCTGTGCCCACGCTATTCCACCGATCGCCTCGTCCACAGACCAGCTGGATAAGCAAAAGACAATTCTTACCTCCTCGGCAGCCATGCGGCCACAAAGGACTAGAGCAGAGGCTGCTTTGTACTATAAGTAGTATTCTTTAGAGAAAACCCACCCTCCAAAATTCCCAGAGGTGGCTTGATGAAACTCTCAAGTCCAAGGCAACACCACTCCCGACGACACGGTGAAGCGCGCAGCAGAACCAGGAGAGGCTTGCCAACGCGGGCAGTGCCAGAGGCAGCACTGGAAGCGCCGCCTGGCCTGGAGCTGGCAGGGAAGGAGCTCTGCTGGCTGACGGCGAGCAACCGCCAGGACCGCAGCGCTTTGTGGAGTTCACGTGCCCTTCTGCTCCTCTGTGTGAGAATCCGGTCCTCTGGTTAAAGGCACGTCAAGAAGTCTGGATACGTCCTCAGGTTTGTTAAAGGACACGGGCTGGCACTTCTCTGTTTACATGAACATGTCAGTATTCTGCACTAAAAATGGATCTTGCATTCCTTGGCAGCATTTCCAGGGAAATCAGAAAAACTGCCCATGTTGTGCAGCTTGCAGATTCAACCGCACATTTTGGGCTGTACATTCCCAGCATAAAAAAGGCAGAGAACTTTGCAAAGGGTCAGTCTGCTTTGTTGGGTTTTACTGTGGAACTGTGCTGCTACAGGGCATTTCCCACCCAACTCGCACAGGGCAGCCCCTGCGGGAGCCGCCTGAATGGGCTGGCGCTCTGCTTATCGGCTGCTTCCTTCCCAGCAGGACAGCACTTCTAACGCCCAACAGAAAACACGGTCACCTCCGCAGCCTACCCAAAACACCAGGGAAAAGAACAATGCAGAAAAATACCGATTTCAGATGCCTTGGGTTTGTCAGTGTTGTTAGAGGGGAGAGAAGAGAGTAGCACTGGGCTAACATGTAAAGGCTGATAAAGCAATCCAATTATCTTTTTAATTAAATTCATCAAAGTACAAAAGCACACTGGCAGTAGTTCACACTTTCAGTGCACTTTAAGTCACTGAAAAGCTAAAGGAACATAACACGCACTGTGGACATTACCAAATGTGTTCTGAATTTCAGAACTGAGCAAAACCTTTGTACTTCTGAACTCCTTGGGGCAGAGAGGGTGCACCGGCATTTTTAAGCTACCATCGCTCCTTCTACCATCATCACAGATTTCTTAGACTCTTTAGGAAACTTGCATCACAGAGTTTAACTTCTCTTACTCATGCAGTGCCTTTATTTAGGGACTTTTTGTTAGACTCACTCCAGCACCAAAAATATAAAGTTAAAAAGCCAACCCAGTCAGCTTTGTAACTTAAAGCAACTCCTTTCTGCCTAACTGAGGGCACTAAACAAAGCTAGCGCAGCAGATTCGTTTCCCATGCTGTAATCCATTCCTTGGTCCTGTACTATGAAAAACATAAAATTCAAAGCAGGATTTAAAGCTAGATTAAAAGGAGGGGCGGGGGTGGGCAAGAGGCAGACCACTGGGTTATTGGATCCCTGCTTGTTCTGGGCTGCCCCTTACTTGCGTGAGTTACATCGGGATTTTGGTGGGCAGCTCCTCCAGCCTAGGGGACAGCTGGTGAAGGAAACCCTCTTGCCCAACAGGATGCTGCTCAGACAACCCCACCACAAATATCTTACTTCCACTGTCAAATCCACTCTTGCTCGGGGCAGGAAGGAGCAAGGGAGGCTTCCTTTCCCTTTTAGAGATGTCCATTAAAAGCTAAATCTCTGGCGACGCCGATGTACATAAAAGGCAGCAGGATCCATACCCTCTGCCATGCAAGGGAGGCCTACAAAAGCTGCTGCTCCGACCAGGCGGACGGTGGCTCAAAGGGAGCATCAGGGGACAGCCACCTTTGGAAATGTGCCAAGCCCGCCACAAGCAGAAAATCCAAACCTCTCACTCTCTGCTTTACGTCTTCAGCACACAGGATTGTGCTGCACCGATATTCTGAGCTGTCATCTGCAAGCAACATTACAGAAGTCTTGAATGATGGTGGGAAAGCAGCAGGAAAATAAATAAATAAATAGAGGAGCCATCCCCAAGAGAGCTGAACTCTGCTATCCTGAACCTTTGCCCATGGTTACACTGCTGTTTTTCTCAGCAGAATGCTTTTCACTGTTCAGCGCCTTGCTGAAAGCCCCAATTAAAGCTCGAAACCTATCAGTCGGTTACAGAAGCAATTTGCTGTGTATCAGCAAGCACTGAGCCAACACCGAGCCATCTGCTCTGTTCTACCTGCGCTGACTCTAGAGCACGGAGAAGCAATCACTCACGAGCTGAAAAGCAAAGACCCACACTGGAGAACAGGCACGTCAACGCGTGTGAGGAGCTCGTTCCCCCTGGATGTAGGTGTAAAAGATGCCTTCAGTTGCTGAAAATACTCACACAACATTCATCATTCATAGAGCGTACAAGAAAAATACCGGGGTGAGTGAATCCGGTTTTACTGGGGTTTCACTAAAAGCAGCAGCTTCTGCAACGATTTAGGTGAGTGAAAATAACACAGGCCAACAAGGAATTTGACCCCCTGAGTTACTGACCAGCCAGAACCGCACAGCTGGTGCCATTCCAAAATCTTGCTTTGCTGACTTTAAAAGCAAAACCACTGAATTTAGTAAGCACCCAGAAGAAGCAGCATGGGGAATAAGTGACACTGACAGGGCATCCTTCATTCTCAAATCACTCTAATTAATTAAGTCTTGCAGATATCCAGAGACCTAAGTCTCAATCCTCTTTTAGAGGAGAAGGAATTGAAGTGCACATGTGAAAAATTACTTTTCCAGTGTTATTAAGCAAGCAAATGTGACAGCAATCTGTAAGCAGTGGTTTTTGCCATTACTGCTGAAAAGCTCCCGAACGCTGCTGCGAACAGAGTGTTCAGGAGAGCCTAGGAAACTTTCAGCTTCTTTAAGCAACATCTTCACATGTTTTTCTGTCCTCCTGCAGCACTTGCTCATACACCACTTCCTTGGACCAGAATGACAACACAGATATAGCTGAAATCTAAGACAAATGGACTCAACTGCACAAAATCGGACGGCATGGAACAAGTGCCTTTTTCAGTCCCAGCAAGACCTTTCACGTTAGGAACATCCTACGGCAGCCAGTGCACCTAATCCAAACAGGGCAAGATTAAGTTAGCCTTCTTAATGACCAGATTTCATCCCTGCTTTGTTAGCGGTGGCCAGGAAGCATCCTGTACTCTTGGCAACCTGTCTTACCATCAGCAAAACCTATCTTCATTACATTAAAAAAATAAGTGCCAACTGTAATCTAGAATAAGCCTGTTAGATTCTAGTTCTCTGCTCTTCAGCCTTTTGCCACGCAACAGCACACAGCTACTGGCTTCTTTACTGGAGATGCCAGAGCTACTGCAGGAACGTACGCTGACTTTGAGGGTTACACGTGCCAGCAATTGTTTATTTCTCGCTGAGCAACGAGGGCAGTTCTAGCACAAGGGAAAAGGTCAGCCTCCCGCACAGAGGTCCTGCCCAGCGCGCTGCGAGGACGGCTGAGCCAAGCTAGTGTTACAGCTTAATGCTGATGACACTGACGTAAAATGGAGGTGCCTCTTACTAGATGCAAACGTACAGAGGAATAAACCCACAGAGGGCACACAGCAGAACGTCGTTCTCCACTGCAGCAGAACGCTTTGTTTTCAACAAAGCCGCGTTACAAGAAACAGGAAGAGTTGCTTGCGATAGTCAACACACACTTGGCTTGTCCTACAAAGGCCAGGAGCTGAACCATGAATTCTTGAGCACCACCTGCTGGCATCTTGTCTATTAACTCATGAAAACAAAGACGGCACGGCACCCCCAGAACTCAGCTGGACCCATGTTCTGCTTTTAACACTAGCAGGCATCACTTACTTCATTGTGTTATGAAAAATACGTAAGAATATCTTGTTGCTAACAGTGTTTCCCTGATAGCCACAGATGGGCTCAAATCACCAGGTAGATCCACTACTGAAAGCCTTCTCAACTAAGTTTCTATCTGCAACATTTACCAATACGAAGGAAACAAAGCAACTGAACCCGAAAAAACTCAGTCTATTAAACGTCTCGTTCCAGGCAAAGGGCTGGGGTCAGGATGAGATTATAGAAACTTTTCCAAATTGGAGATACCTGACTGCTCATGCTGCAGAGGTCAAAGTCTTCACGACCTTCTGGAGGTTTTGCACAGGAAGAACAATTTGCGGGTCTCTAAAATAGCTGCAAAAAAAGCAGCAGAAAAACTCTGCGCTCTGCCATGTTTTCACGCCAAGGCACTGTCTGCATTTTTCATTTTCC